TCAGGAGCGTTAGGGAACTTGGGCCAAACGACTGACTTTTTTTGTTTTGTTTTTTAACTTTTGCCTTTTATCAAATCTAACGTGGAAACCTTTCCAAGTGGTTTTAGCACAAATGCGTCTTAAGCTATTTGCATAGAACTAACCCATACTAACATGTGCCTTTTGAAATGTGTATTTTTCATGCCTGAACAAAAATAAATACCTTTATTCACAACTTAAAGACACAGTAAATGTTTTATTAGAATAACAATATACACACGTATTATCCAAGATGATTTTTGAGAATCCTGTTGAATACAGAAGCATCTGCACTGTGCTTATGTGTTAAATATAAACAATTTGACCACCTGCAGTCACACAATGCACTTTATTCAAAGCTCCTTCTGTCAGTCGCACAAACCAGGATGGACCAGGTGTATGTTTGCATATATGTGGTCAGAGCAGGTCACATTTTTAAAGCTTTTAACACACAAGCAGCATTTACAGAGAAGCAGGATGCTGCATGTCTTCTCGGGCATTTCACGGTCCAACAGAAAATGTGTCCAACAATTAGACTCAGCCCTTTGATGTCCATGAGTAGGTCATGTTACAATAAAGAGTGGAAATGATACTTTTAAGGGAAATTTGAGCTGTTGTTGAAGATTTAACAGTTGCCAGGGCATTGTAAAGTCAATCTCAGCAAGTCCACAAACAGCTGAAGTATCTTGGATAACAGACGATCATTCCCATCTGACCAGGAAAAGAGTTTTATTTTCTCAAAGCTGGAACTTTCGCCTGCAGGCTTCCATCTCATGACGCTGAAATCAAAAAAAGATATTTAAGCTTGTGTGACAAAAACATTTCTTTTAATCTTCCACAATTAAATGTTGAACTAGACTGTAATAACACGACTGGCAAAGTAGAAACTAACAGCAAATAGGTTGCTTAAAGGCAAATGTGCACGTGGCTTGATGAGTTTTACTGCAAAAACAACCATCTGTGAGGATGACTCACCTTCATCACCCACTCGTACTCTCCGTACTTTGAGTCGAACGTGCCTTTTTGTAGAGATCGGAGTTTGAGGGTGAAGCGTGGTCCCAGCTCCTGAATACCAACTTTCTTCTCATTCTTGAAGATGTACCTTTCACAGATATTTTTAGAGATTTATTTAGCCTTCTAAATTTAAGATTTAAAACAGACGCATGTGTTAGTGTAGAAGGTTGAAAAATATTTACCTGTGAAATCTGAAAAAGATGAAGTCTCGCTGGTTGTGGAAGGTGGCGACCTGTCTGCCAACGAAGTGTGGCTCTTGTGGGAAAAGAGCTGCGAACAGACGGCCGATGGTGTGCCCCAAACGAGTGGTGAAATTGTTGAGGATCACCTCTGGGTAGTGTTCAGTTGGATTTTTGCCTCGTCTCTGTGGGACAAAGAAAAGGAGCCAGATGATCTCAAATGACTAAACTTCAAGAAAGCGTGTCCCAGTGTTTGGAGTAACATACAGAAGCAAAGAGGAAATACCCCCTCGTTCAGTTTCACCTCTTCAACCTATTAAGTATAAAACATGATAAAAATAACTTAGACTGTACCAGGTTGTAAAGTTATTTTAATATAACCTCAAATGAACAACACACGTCATAATACAATGTGTTGGTTTTTTTCTTTTTAAAGAAACCAAAATGCAGAAGCAGTGTGTGAAACACCGCGTGCACCACATGATTCAGTGTCTTTTAGCAGCAGCAACATGAGGTATGTATTTCTACATGACTTTATGAGTCTCACATCATTGTGGAGTTCATACTTGTTCAGTCTTTTTCTAACTGGACTGTTTTGGACTTCAAATGTTTTACTAACCGAGGCCTGCAGTCTGAAATGTAGCTTTTGGCTTTTTTGCAGTGAGTCTGAGCATCGCACAGTCTGACCTTGCAGTGAATTTGCTGCGATGTCACTTTCCTGGGAAGACTTTGAACCGTGCTGAACGTTTCTATTTGTGAATAATCTTTCTCACAGCAGAATGACGGACTTGTATAGTCCTTCCAAAAGTCTCGGGCAGCAACAATTTCTTCTTTAAGGTCACTGTTGATGTGTTTTGGCATTGTGTTAACACACATCTAAATGCTTCTCCTTTTATAGGAGTGCCCACGCTGACTATTGATCAGTTAATCAAGTGCATTTTATCAGCTGCACCTGCCTGCAGGTAACTTAACCCCTGTACAAACAGTACACGGAGTAATATTACGTGCTGTTCTTCATCTGAGATTTTATCTCCTGCTGAAGACCAGATTAAATTTTTACTATGTCCTGATGTAAAACCTCAGAATTGAAAGAGGGTGTACTTTCCTTTTCACGTGTTTATAGTATAGGTGAGAAAGTAGGATCATTTTGAAAAAGAGTTTGGACTTATCATCTTGCCTTCATCTCCTTGCGTAGTCGAACACTGCTGACTTTGAAGTGTGCAGTCGGCCCGTCAGGTAAGTGACAGAGAACCATGCCATCTTTAATTAATGGTTAAGGATCTCGGCATTAGAAAACAGCTGAGTGCATCAAAGATTTCCATGGTTTGTGCAACTTTCATAATTATCAGCAGTATTTGGTCAAAATGAGACTTTTGACCAAAGAAAGAACTAGAGCTTGCACAGCTGCCTTTAAGGATACTGGGCACTTGTCGATCCTCATTGATGACCATGAGATAGGTGAAGTTCCTGGCGACGCACTGCGGTATGATCCTCTTCAGGGCCAAACCTCTTCTGTAGTACACGTGGGCATTTGGGATGACTGTGGCCAGCTGCTCGCAAAACCTCACCGTCCTCTGCAAGACACAAATCAGATGATGTGGCACAAATCACTGTGCGTTCAACACTTGAGGTGGAAGAGTGGTTAGCACCAAGAAGGCTGCCAACTATTATTAACTACTATGACAGTAAATCCTATTTTAGTGCAGAAATTAAACTGTAACAACAAAACCAGCTTCAAACGCTTACACAAAAGCTAAAAGTAAGCTTGTAGCTTCTGTTCTGCTCGATTTTGTAACAAAGTCAAGAATATTCAAATATGTAAAGAGATTTTTAGAAAATTCTTTGTTCTGCATAATATTCAAATGATCCAAAATTTACCAGCAAATTATAATTTTTCAGATTCTGCATATTTAATGATAAAAGAATAATAAAAATGACTGTAATGACAGCAGGAGCCCTCACCCCTCTGGGCCTGTCTGATGTTGTGATGAGCACTTTAGGATTTGTCAGCCCGTTGAAGTAGGCGGAGAATTCATCAGTCCCCTCGTCAAAAGCAATCTGTATATAACGTACACAAACATATGCAACTTAATCCAAATTCAGAAATAAAGATAACAATAATCTGATGAAGCCCAGTTCATACCTCCTCATCCTCTGGGTCGACTGTTGTCTCGTCATACACCCTCTGGTTTTCTATTGTTTTGGGGACCTCCTTTGGTGGTGCCTACATTGGAGACAGAATAAAATAAAGTACAAATAATAAATATTACAGCCGTTGCCTTATTTTATCCTTTCACTCTCTGTCACTGCTGTCTAAGCATAGAAGCCCAGATCTCCCTCTTTCCTGCCATCTCCTCAAATTCTTCCGGGGGGACACAGAGGCATTCCCAAGCCAAAACATAATCTATCCAGCATATCCTGGGTCTGCCCCCCAGCCCCTCCCAGTAGGACATGCTTCACCAACTGCTTCCTTTTAATTTGGAGGACTAGTGGCTCTAATCTGAGCCCCTCTTTACCATCAAATCCCCACGACAGCAATTTATTGGTAGAATTAACACATCCATCATAAAACACAGTCATAAGTGAAGAACAAACAAAGAGAAGACTCACCTTATCACCTAAAGCTTCACGTTCTTTTCTTCTCTTTTTCCTCAGCTGCATCTTTTGCTGAAATACAAATTTAGAAGTTAATAGATCTTCAAGGAGGTTTTCAAAGTTAATAAAGTGATTTATCGATTACTCCTGCTAGAACTGATCTGGATAAGCAGTGATGTTTTAAATAAAATTATAGATGTACCTTTTTCTGTGTGTCACAACTAGTAAACCTGGCCATTTGTTACCTCACATAAAATTTATTGTGATTCCATACAAGTATCATCAGAAGATGCACCGGATTATAACATAAATAACAGTATTTAAAAAAACTAAAAACTCTAAAGGCCTCACAATACTGACACAAAATAAATAGGTAACTAGATATTTACCAGCCTACTCTTAAGTTATTAACATTAACAGGTGTGCTTAATATTTATGGATGCAATGATTATGGTCCAACTTTAATATCAGCAAATGCTGATCCTAATGATTTTTGTTTGGCTGTTTTCCCTCATAAATAGAAGAACAAGAAGACCCACCCTGACTATACTTCACTTTAATGAAATATGGTGAGTGGTGAGTTAAGCAGCACATAAGGAGTCAGAGTCTAAATAAACTGGACCCAAGCAAAACAAGCAGCCTAACGACAGACGTAACATGTTGACGTTTAATGAAAAAACACGTGCTAAAACGAGACATTGATATTTTTATGTTGATCACTGTATTCTATTGTATTCTCTTACATTAACAGTTCTACTGAAACACACTGGAGTTTTGCTCACGTAAAACGGTGCCGTTTTAACGCCCCGCTGTACCTAATAAACTGGCACGTGAGTGTCCCAAGTACCGGAAGCTCCCCCCATTACCAGCCATGACCCAGTATCGGTACCTTTCTCTTCTCCTGCTTGAGTTTCATGAACATGAAGTGTCTTCGCTGTTTATTCTTGATTTCTGACACACTGAAGGTGGGAGGAAAGGCAACAGCCAGCTCGCTCTTCACCATCTTCTTCTCCTCCCCCGCGCTGCCTTCCCCATCAACCTCCGCGCTCTTCTTCTTCGCTTTCTTGCCCTTCTTCCCTTTGCCGTCCTGACTTGTTGAGACCTCTGTAATGTCCATCTTGTATCTGCTGTCTGTTTTGGCTTGTTTCTCACGTGTGTGTACTGGAAGCAGCAGCCCCGTTCGCGTATTCACTTCCGGTGGGACAGGAAGTGGCCGAATGAAGACTCGGTGAAGAACAAGTGTGACCTCTAGTGGTGAGGAGGAGACAGAGTCCCACTGTAAAGTAGGGAAATAGAGCAGAACCTAAACACAGCCGTTTTTTGCAATACCCCAGCTTTATGTAATGTTCTGTCATAAACCCTCCTGATACTCGTCCTCCGACTCCACCCAGCCTACACGCTCTCAATTTCACCTCTCCTGTGCACTGTCCATGGCTTTTTTTGACCCCAGTTATTCAAACCTCTAGTCCTATCATCTTCACTGTTAACACCCGTCTCTGTCTGGCTACTACTGGCTATCACTCCTCTGCTCTCCAGAACATACCCCCACCTCTCCAGGCTTTCATCCATCTACTTCATACTCTCACTGCAGAACACAATGTCATCTGTGAGCATCACAGTCTACAGAGACTCCTGCCTGACCTCACCTGGCCATCCATCCATCCCCACTGCAAACAAGAAGATGCTCGGAGACGATCCCTGACGTAATCCAAACCCTTGCTTCAGAATCAGAATCAGAATCAGAAAGGGTTTTATTGCCAAATGTTGAGCAGGTTTGCAACATTAGGAAATTGCTGCGGTGCACAGCGCAGCAATGTGCACCGTTTCTCGGTGCTCCTCGGTGGTGCTCCACCGTTCCTCGGTGCTCCACTGTTCCTCGGTGTTCCTCATACAGTATCACACCAGATCATATGCTTTCTACAGATTCACAAAAACATCACATGGCTCTTTCTACACACTTCATCCTCAGCACTCTCAAACCAAACATTTAATCTGTAGCTCTCTTTCTCAACATGAAGCCATGCTGCTGTTCCTTCAAGAACTCTTTCTCGTATCTTCTGATATGGCTCATGATCTTTATACCTTTGTAGTTGCTACGTCTCCACACATCACTGTTGTTTCTTGGAAAGCTGTTATAAATGACTTGTTGACCTATAATCTGTCAACCATATCTCTTATGAATGATATCAAGTCATTTAGAGCCAGAAAAAAACCTTCCTTAAAGGAGTTGGAAGCTGTAATCAGTGTAATCTGTAATCTTTTTTATCCAGGTAAAAAGTCTCATTGAGATTAAAAATGTATTTTTTCAGGAGTGAACTGGCCAACAAGGCAGGAGAAGTCACAACATATATAAACTCACAATCCTGTAAAGACAATTTAAGTGGCTAAAAAAGACTGAATTGATTTTTTTTTTGTTAGAGCAGGTAGAGGCTTAAAAATAAATAATAACATACTCTACTATGTTTTTCTGCTTCTTTAAATAAACCCATACATTTGAAAATTCATAGATAACAATAATTATATTTTAGCATCAGAAATATAATTTCAGTTAAAGATCTAGCTCATAGTTAATCATTACAGAAACATACAAATGTTTTTGTAATTACAAAAACTCTTAATTTAGGGAAGCTGTGGCATAAACCTTACATTAGGTGGGGGCACAAATAAGAACTGCTGCAAATGCCAGATATGGCTCGATGGCACGCCAGTAAATGAGGGCATCTAAACTGAAAGCTCAAAACCGGTGAAATGACAGTGAAACTGTGCCTGTTCATATCAGTGATGAAGGTCTAACCATCACCTTCAGGACTAAAGGAGGAAGAGGAGGCTGTGATCATTTGACAGCTTAAATACAATTAAACAAAGCCAGAAAGAGACAACACGAGTTTATCTGCACCAGGAACCACAGAAGTGATCATTAACACATCAGCACATTTAATTTGAGCATTTTCTTTAGTGTTTCTCAGTGAAAATGAGTGAACACAAAGTTGCATTTATGAGGAATAATATTATATTTGTGATTCAACAAATACAATATTACAATATTTGTCCTACATCTTTAATCACCTGCCTAAAAATTGAGATTATACTATATGGATATAATAGCACAGTTTATAATAATTATAGTAATGTAGGTCTTTAAAATTAAGCATGATAGTGTGACATGTGGTGTGAACAGGAAGCTGTGGTGTGGGCAAGGACTGATCATGTTATTTTAAAAAGCCACTTCCTGGAGCGTTAACATTAAAAAATGCAATTAAGACACTTTATGGTAAACTTCAGAAATAAGACCTTCCATTATTTTTGTCAGTTTTTGCACTGTTAAAAAAAGAAATGTTTTTCTTTTGTTTACCTCAGCTCCAATGACAAGGTGTTTTGCATTTAACACACCGCATCACAAAAATGAACAAGCTGGAAAGATTCTGGAAATTAATCTACAGGTGCAACATTTTGGTGCCACAGAAACAGCTGAAAGCTGAAAACCTGTTGCAAGCAGACGCTGCCAAAGAGGACAAGAACTGCATTTTTACATAGGAGGCGAGTGGAAGTTGCTCAGTGTCAAAAACCAAAAAATATAAATGAAAAAGTAGAAAATAGACATGCACAGACAAGCAAAGCCACAAACACCGTACTATCTGGCATTCCTCCTGTCCTTCCACTGGAACGTCAACATGCAGGGTTCAGGGTGTACAAAAGGCTTTTCAATGTGTGGAGCTGCAGCAAGAGCTTGGTTTGCACAGCTGGCAATAAGTTCCAAGTGAGCATTAAATCATTCACATTTAATTCATTTAGTTTGAAGTAACGGTGCACGGAGGACACTGCAGAGGACCCTGAGGTCGAAACTGTTTTTCTACCAGATACAGAAGTTTGTGTAATAAAATCAAGTTTTTAATAGTCCATCGATTTTTCTTAATAATGATAATGCCTTTATTTATATAGCACCTATCAAAACAAAGTTACAAAGCGCTTCACAGGACATGATAGGAAATAAAAACAAAACTTAATAAGAGATTAAAAAAATGAAACAACATGATCGAGACATTTAAAAACTCTGATTGCTGCATTTTGGTCCAGTCGTGCGAACAATGAAGGGACAAAAGCAGGCACTCTGTAACCATCTCTGGATTTCTTTTAGAAACAAACTGAACCTAAAGCTGCACGAGTCAAGACTGAACAGCTGAGCTGATGTGCTTATTTAAACGGAGGTTTTTATAATATTGGTCCAACACTCGGGTTGTTCCTTCACAGCTCTCGTCTACCAACAGAGCGTGGATCTTTACATGGTTCAAAACTGCGTATCAGTCCATAGAAAGCCATCCCAACTACTCTGTCATTAGTGCATATTGCTCCTCCACCTCTTTTCATCTGACTCTCCTCTCGGTTCATATCAGCGATGCAGATCCAGTCACCGTCTGCAGTCACGCACCACTTTGAGTGATCCACAGTATCACTGAAGGCCTCCCTGTTTGGAAGCTTTACTTCTTTCACGTTGTACACATGGTTAGGGATGCTTGAACTGCAGTTAGAAGGCAGACCGCGATTGTGGTGCATCTTTCCCCAGCTCTTAACATACAGATTCCCCCTAATGTTTTTTGTAACAAGACCAGAGTAAAGATCTGCAATAGTATGGAAAACAAAACAGGAAAACAACACTATTAAGAGTGCGCTCTGCCCGTACTGTGGAGAGTACAGTGTGTTTTACTGTCAATCTACAGGGTCTTATGTTTGTGATCAATACAACATGAATTCATCCCTCCTGAAATATGTCTTCTTTCTGAAAACACTTACCATCACCAAAGCGTGTGTATTTTGCAAAGCTGATGAAGTTACGACCGCGTGAAGAAGTCAGCGTCGCCTGACTAAACCAGGGTTCCTTTTTCGGGTAGCAGCCTGGCTGTGCCACACACCGCAGCTCATTGTGAAAGGTTGTTGGGATTTCAAAGTCATACGAATAAGCATGGATGTACTTGAGCTGCACTCCTAAGAATTCAGATACAAGTTGTTAAAGTGCACTTTCACTAGTTCTACGAAACTGATTTGAGCTGTTTACCTGTTGACATACCTATTTCTTTGAACTGCTTATACGGGTAAGTCACGCACATAAATGCTTGAGCGTTTGCATTTCCATTATCAGGCCAGAAGGCTTTACTGCGATATACTGGAAATTTGGGTGTACTGTGTGAAAGCCAAACTCCAGACGTTTTGTCCAACAACACAACTCCTGTAGAAAGTCAGAAACACAAACTGAGCTTTGCTACATTTGGGTCTTTCAGACAGAGGACGCGTCAGCTGAGACAATGTTGTGCCCACCTTTACTGTGACCAAACGATGGAGGAGCAACATACGGCTTTGGAGGCTGGTCGCTGTAGAGCATGTATCCAAAGCCTTCGATCTGGATAGACGAGCAACACCACAACAACTCTGAAATGGTATTCAGATTATTCACTGTGCCATGCTAGTGAGACATATATCCTATAATACCTCACCTTTCTGTCATAGAAGTCAAAAAGAGGTCTCAGGGTGTTTGCGAGAGTGCCAGAATCACTGTTGATGTTCTCTTGGCTGAGTATCCATCCGTTGGTGCTCTCATCCATGTAAAAGTATGACAATCCAAGTTTATCCTCATTGGGACGCTTGTACAAAATATACCTAAAGAATGTAGATGAAGATGTTTTCTTATGCATTTACATTAAACCCATTGGCAGAAATTCAAAATGTCTACAAACCAGTCAACTTCGTCTCCTCTGTCATTCCTGCATTTTACCGCTGAGTCACACCCCTGAAAAAGGATCCCAACACTCAAGAGGAATCCCATCACACTGGTCTGAAACAGTCAAACATAACCGTTGCTAGAACCACAAAAACAGGAGGCTGTCTGCATTCAACAACACCGTCACAAAGCAGAAGGTCTTTAATACAGTGTAACACAATTAAAGCCACCAGTGAACCTGCAGCTTCTGTTTAAACACTGATGAACTTTATCTGACTGACATAAACTTATGTCAGTTACGTCTTTACTTCTGCAAACCCTGCGAGCTACTTTAGACAGACGACTTAAGTTGCACCACTTACCACACATGTAACACGTCTCTGCTCACATCATTTACCAAACACAGCCTCCCAGCGTGGCAGCCTATGAAGTTACAAATTTTCCGTTTCTCCTTCTGACATTTCTGCCCCCCCAACACGCTTTAGTTTATAAAATGGTGAAAGATGTATCAGTTCATCACAGCGGCAATACAACTCAAGATCTACCTCAATCATTCAGTTTCGAGTAACACAATATAGACTCTAAACATCTCTAAATATGAACAGGGTTTACAGTCTTATCTGGAAAACTTGGCATCACGTGACCTAATCTGTGTTTGTTTTATGAACGCTGCATTATCAGGTTTTCTGTTGTGATCCCACACATCCTCACTTTCTTATTGTAGCTATATGTTGGACGCTATAAGTAAAGATCCTTGATGTAAACAATCTGTAAGTGTGTAAGACTTCTGCATTTCTGTCAAGCCACTTCCTCAGCTTACAAGAGGTCAGTCGTCCACTACTGAAAAATATATTTGCAAGTCAAACACACCATGGACATTGTATTATAATGCCAATAATGCCAAATCATGCAGCAGTATAAAATAGTTTGTTGCATTTTATAATAGCATGCTTATTGGTGGGTGTAATCTAGGGTCATGATAAATGCATCAATACTAGTTTCATGTGGTAATATTCTGTTCACATTGTGTTTGATAAGCTATGACACACGGTACTCATGTACTGTGTTTTTATACACAGGATAACTATGCATTTACTTTGTGTTCAGCCTGTTTATGTAAATAGATCATCTCAGTATTATGCAACACACCCGGGTCAGTTGTTATTATTTGTAGAATATATTTTGAAATATGTAAACATTTACTTACATATCTACTTGTTTCCATTTTCCTTCTCAGTGAGCTTTAGATGTGTTTCACAAAGCTGCTTTGTCACATCTAACTGAAACCGTCACCCATATCTGCATTCGATGTGTCAGCAACAACTTCCTTGTTGCTCAAAGCCGTCACCATAGATCTTCCTTTTTTGTTTTTTACAATGTTGCCATGCCTGTTTTGACCAGGTGACGCTGTCACGAGGCTTTGTGCCGTCTGAGCCCTGCATGTTCCAGTTTGACTTGCTTTTTGAAAGAATATATATGTGACTTTGTTTTGCTTATGTTTCTGAGAAAGTGTAGTCATTGTGAAACTGATGCATGGTTTAGCACAATCTCAATTACTGCAACCACATGGCAACATTTTAAGCATCCAGATCCTCAATCAGTTAACAAAATTGTTTGCTGCGCTCTTAGAACCAGTTTTCTCATGCATATAGTGTACATGTAGAAATATGTCAGAGTCAGGTGAAAAAGAAAGTTCAGTTCAAGTAAAAAACGGACTTAGACCCTTAGCTTGTCTTATCATTACATAAATACAATTTGAGATGAACAAGAACATTTTTTATTGAACTAAAACAAAACCAGAATTCGGAAACAGCGTGCAAAAAAAATAATTCTCCACCTTTACCAGCAATAAGTTGACATAATCATTTTCTGTATGACTTTATCAGTCTTTCACGTCACTGTGGAGTCATTTTAACCCACTTTTCTTTACAACATTTCCTCAGTTCACTGAGGTTTGTGGGCATTTGTTGCACAGCTTTCTCAAAGTCACGCCACAGTATTTCAGTCAGGTTGACTGCCTGGATTGAGATTTGGCCACCGTGATTTATTTATTTATTTTTACACTCATTCTGTTCTTGATTTGCTGCTTTGAATATGGTTGTTGTCCTGTTGCATCACCCGATCTCAACCTAGTCCAAGCTGTCAGGCAGATGACCTCAGACCTTCATCGTCCACTCGGTGACTGGAAGAAGCCCAGATCCTGTCATCACCTGTCTACCTCCATGCTTGATAGGTGACATGATCTGTTTGTGCTGATATGCTATGTTTGGTTTTTGCCAAAAATGGCGCTGTGCATTATGGACAAACATGTCCACTTTGGCCTTGTCTGTCCAAAGGACACTGTTCTAGAAGTCTTGTGGTTTATTCAGAGGCAACATTGTAAAGCTAAGCTGTTCAGTTCAGAGAGAAAAGGCTTTTTCTTTTTCTAAGCAACAAAACGACTGAATGTATAACTTGTATTCATGGCTTGCTGAGCAAGCACGGCTTGTTTTCTAACTGTGCTGCCATGAACTTTAAAAATCTGCCATGGTAACCGAGGCCTGTAGAGCAGGAGATGTAGCTCACGAGTGTTTTGCAGTTTCTCTGCGCACTGAACAGTCTGACCTTGGGGTGAATTTGCTTCGATATCCACTGTTGGGAAGATTGTCAGCTGTCTTAAACATTTTCCATTTTCTCACTGTATAATTTCTCATATCTCTTCCCAGATTGATGAGCAGAAACATTTGCTTCTCTATCATTGCTGATGTTTTCTTTCTTGCCATTATGTTACCTGATCTTACCTTCTTAACTCCTATGAAAGCATTGAGAGCATACTGAGTTCTTCATTTGCTGTTTCTGCATTTTGACTTAGTTTTCTTCACCTTTGTTCATTTGACACTGTATTAACTTAATTTTAAGACCTGCTGAGGACCAGATGTGTTTTTTAAATATGCCCCTGATAAACAAAAGCTTGTTGTTGAAAGAGGCTGTACTCTCCTTTTCACACGACTGTCTATAATACATATTACTTATTGCACTTTACTGGATTTTAGTTGTACTCTTTCTTCTCTACTGCCTGCTCTAGTTTCCATGAGTAGTATCGAATTGTAGATAGTCGGAAAATCATTTGAATGAATTGTATGAGTCACCTGGTCTGGCCAGTAGGTGACACTATTTACCCCAAACACTAAACGCACACACAGTTACAGGCCAAGTGCCTCTTCAGTGGAAATAGAAACTGAACAAACATGATGATGACTACTCCAGAGGCACCAAATAAAACAAAATAAAATAAAATAGATTCCATTAGACTACATGTACCTCAGTCTCACTGAGCAGTAGACCAGATTTTAATGTTGTCAGTCTTTATTATGTTGCACATCATACTACAACATATGGTTCCATATATTTATTGCAGAACTTATAAAACGTAAAAACAACTTCAAATATGTAGCATCATAACACAAGTGCACACACTGTGCTAAAATAATATGAATACAAACACCCAAAGATTCAAAAGAAAATTACAAAACCTTTTATCTGTAGCACTAATAGTGTTATAGTTTCATCTCTGCTGGATGAAAGGAAGCGACATAGATCAATGATTTTGTCTCTTGCTCCTTTTGTAAAAGGAACAAGACATTGTGCAGACATTGTGCAGACATGGTTGTTTAAACACACAGCCGCTGACATCTCCTGAAACAATGTGCGGCTGTGATCTACAGTCTTACTAACCTTATTTCTGTTTTGTTTTATTGAATTGAAAGTATTATTTTTTTAAATCTATTTATACTTGTGGGCTGCTGGTTCCATACAGCTGCTTTAACTCAAACAAAGGTGGATAACTAAGTGTATCCACCACATAATTAACATGCAGTCACTGCTATTTTTCAAAAGCTTATTCACCAGTTTAAATTGTAAATACATTATTATTGGTGGCAGCAGATGGCCCCGCCCCTCCCTGAGCCTGGTTCTGCTGGAGGTTTCTTCCTGTTAAAAGGGAGTTTTTCCTTCCCACTGTCGCCAAAGTGCTTGATCATAAGGTGTCATATGATTGTTGTATGTATTGTTGTAGGGTCGACCTTACAATATAAAGCACCTTCGGGTGACTGTTGTTGTGATTTGGAGCTGTATATATAAAACTGAATTCAATTATACACATACATTATTATATGTGAGTCTCTATGTTACTTCTACATAGCAGTCAACCCTGGAGACAGAATCATAGTGTCTCGCTCTGCCACTGTCAGCCAGTGTCACACTGATTCTTAATCACTTTGCTTTTCCTTCTCAATTAGCACTGAATGTACCAATCCACCACCTGCCTGAAGGCCTTATAAATCAAAGGGTTGGAGGAACAGATCAGACCGCCACCTCGCCACAGCTGGCCCATCTCTCTGTTTAGGTCTCCCAGGCAGGTCACCTGGTCCTCATAAAGTCGTGACACGCACCACTTTGAGTGGTCGTAGTGCGAATAAAACAGGATTGATCTGGGAAGCTGGATTTTCTTAATGTTCATGGTGTGTTTGGCCAGTGAGCAGTTGGAGGGCAGGTCGTGACCTTGTCTCTGCCAGGACTCCACTAAAAGGTCGGCGCCCAGTTCCTGAGCCACCCAGCCTGTGTAGATATCTGAATGAAAGCCAACAGAAAAACATGTCAGGTACTAGAGTAGTCTGTACTCGAATCATTGTGCTAAATGAAACGTATAATGTTTTTATACCATTAAATAGCATTTTTCAAGTTGTTTTGGCAATTTGCCAAATGATATGAGAATAAAGGAAATGCAAACGTGATAAGCTCACACTTCCTTTTGCATTATGTATGATTATGGTAAAATAAATACATTGTGAGCTCTGTGTTGTTTTCATGCATAAATAAACCTTTGTGTGGATAATTATTCTCTCTAAATAATAAAAATATACATATACACAAACTGAGAAACAAAATACTGCATGTAACTAAGATCCAAAAGTCAAAGCAGCTGTGAGTATACTTTGAAAGCCCCGGCTGGGACGTGATAATGCACGTCACTGTGCAGCGACGATAGCGTGTCTGCGCCTGATAATCAGTGACTGTGGTCGACGAGTGAAATGTGCAAACATGGCAGCAGGCTACAGGAAAGAAGTCTGCTCTTCTAAAATGTACACGATGAGCAAGTAAATGCCTAAAAGTTTAAAAAAGGGCATGCGGGGTATCTTACCATCCACAAAGTTTTCAGATTTAGCAAAACTGACAAACTTTTCCCCTCCAGCTGAAAAAAGCTGCTCCATTCTCTTATTGGAGGACAGCTGTGGTTTGGAGTCCGCACATAACTGGGCCAGCTGTGGCAGGTCAGCCGAGAATGCAGCAGGAACAGAGCAGTTATAGAAACGTGGGTAAAGGTAGACCAACTGCTTTGCTGGAGATTGAAGAGGAGAGAAATAAGAGATGATGTATATTAGATCAGAATCAGAATCAGAATCAGAATACTTTATTGATCCCTGGGGGAAATTATTTTTTGTTACAGTGCTCCATTTTAAACCAACATTAAGACAAGACAGACAATACGCTAACTAAGAATAGTACAATATATACATATATATACATACATACATACATAAGTCACTTATAAATAAATATTTGGAAAAGAAACATGTGTAGTTGTAGCAGCAAACAGTGTGTTAAGTGGATGCGTTGTACAGGGAGATGGCCACAGGCAGGAATGATTTCCTGTGTCGTTCAGTGGTGCTTTTGGGTAATCTCAGTCTCTCACTGAACGAGCTCCTGTGACTGACCAACATGTCATGGAGTGGGTGGGAGGTGTTATCCAACATTGTCTTTATCTTGGACAGCATCCGCCTCTCCGACACCACCTTGAGGGAGTCCAGCTCCATCCCCACAACATTGCTGGCCTTACGGATCAGTTTATTGAGTCTGTTGGCATCTGCGACCCTCAGCCTGCTCCCCCAGCATGCAACAGCATAGAGGATCGCACTGGCCACAACAGACTCATAGAAAATCCTGAGCATTTTCTGGCAGATGTTGAAGGACCTCAGTCGCCTCAAAAAATAGAGACGACTCTGGCCCTTCCTGTAAAGTGCTGTGGTGTTTTTAGCCCAGTCCAGTTTATTGTCAATGTGTACTCCAAGGTATTTATAGTCCTCCACAATGTCAACACTGACCCCCTGGATTGAAACAGGGGTCAAGTGTTTCCTGGTCTTCCTGAAGTCCACGATCAGTTCCTTGGTCTTTGCCACGTTGAGCTGCAGATGATTCTGCTCACACCACGTGACAAAGGAGTCGACCACAGCCCGGTACTCTGTCTCATCATCCCTGCTGATGCATCCAACCTGCTGATGGTCGTATAGCGAGAGTATTCCTTACAGCCGCAATGAGCATTTACGATAATGACACTGATGTTGATTCTTTACTGTTAGTCTCATCAAGTTTATTAATTAAATTCTTGGCAAATATCGAATTTTCGCATTCAAGGCTTTTTATATAGCAGATATTACATTTAGCTAAATTAAATGTCCTCCAGTCTTTCTTTGTAAGCACTTTGTTGACACATTAACTTGGTAAAATGTGAAAAAATTGATTATTAATAAAAAACATAGTAATTCAAATAAAATACTATTATAGTGAAACTGTTATGATCACCACAGAAACACAGAATAATTCCGAGTAGCTGAACACGTGTGAGGAAATCGCCTAAAGTTTCCCTCAGACACGCTTCGTAGCAAAAACAATTTCACAGGTTCATTATAATACTTGTGTGCAATGTGGGGTTTCCAAACAAAAGAAACAAATCACCTTATTAATAACCTTAAAATTTCATTTTACACATTTGCTCAGTGAGAAATCCAGAAAAAAGCAGAGCAGCATAAAAACTCCAAATAATTTAAAACTCTGCGCACATTTAAAATGATTTTTGAATCTTTATGTACCGTTAAATGGGGAGACGTGTATAAAACTGCCTGTAATTCAACAATTGAACAAACAGTTCATCACCTTGAATTAAAGCTGAAAGTCTGGATTTCACATCTTGATTCAAATTACATCGTGATCGTGAACGGAGGCAAAATTACAAAAATTCTCTTATTGTCCAGATGTTTATGGGCCTAACTGTGTGTATGCATGTAAAAGAAAAAAGCTGATGATTGCTTTGCATTAAACCAGGGGTGCTGAATATAAGGCTCGGGGTCCAGAATCGGCCCAGCCGAGTCCGGCCCACCATTAGGCTGTGGAAAATGTGAAGGAGTGCATAATTTTGAACATTTACCAGGATTTTACAGTATTTCCTGTTGGTAAAGAATCTCCCTCATTCATACGACACCAAAGTAATTAAGTAATAGATCAACTATTAAAAGGTTTTTTTTTACATATTTGTAGGTTTTTTTCAGTGGGTTCACAGGAAAAAAAGGAGATTTTCACTCTGTGCTTCATGAGAGCTCACCTATATGAAGAAACTGTTGGTACTGGTAGGTCACACACAGTGCAGTCTGGCCATTGACTTTGCCAGACGACGGGTATAGGTACCCTTTCTCGGGGAAGGAAGGGAAATGGGGAATGCTGTGCGACAACCAGAAACCTTGAGCGCGGTCAAAGAGCAGTGCCCCTGCAGGACACACACAAACATACGAAAGTTGGAATGATTACACACAGATACATGCGAACCAGCACGCAGATGCAGAAAGATTTCCATCAGTTGTGTTGCTGATAAGAGTCAAATGTGCAGTTGGAGCTATCGGACAGATGGTCTTTGCCCGTGTCCTCCCCCTACAACACCCTACTGCAGGCAGAGGAAACCTAAACCCTATTGATTTTTTCTTTTTCCAAAGCTTGACTAGCAGTCTGGAAATGCATCTGCCGGTAACTGTCACAGACACAAAACATGCTGTAACTTGCACTGTTGCATGGGGAATAGTTGTGCACTTGTACATGTAACATAGTGAGGCTACATATATACACAATAACTACCTTAATTTAATATAACAGGTTCTTAAATTTGTCAAACTACCACAAATGTCCATTTTTACAGCCTCTCCACGTGGTATTAAAGGTGGAAAATGTAAAACAGACTTTCCTGGACATTCCACCTTTACTTTGCACATGTGTCAACAGAGTGAAGAAAAACTATGGCAGTCATAGCGCTGCTATATTTTCTGCTGACAGTGAAAACTCTGGGAATAAAACCTGATCAATCTTGTTGCGTGGTCACAATAATGAATAAAAGTCTTGAGATGAAAAGAAGAGGAAAGAAGCAGATTTCTTCCTGCCGACTGTACCGTACCTTTAGTGTGTCCATATTTTTGAATGTATTTCAGGTCTGGTGGGGCGTCGTTATAGAGTGCATACACTGAGGTGTTTGACTGCCAAAAGACCCCCAAAACAACAACATTTGTTATTTTATACAAGTGAAAGTTATTTATGCAAGTTCTTTTATACAAGAAGAATAATTGAGAGGTGACATTAGGGACGCCCTGCAAAACCAAAATGCTTATTACACCTTATTACACTTTGGCTTACGTTAATGGCAAATGGAATAAGGGACCAACTGAAAGAACAAAGAAGAAGAAGAAGAATGCCACAATAACCAGCTAATGGCTTCATTCTTATAGCAAAGATATTTCAGAGAAATGTTTGTTTTCTGTCTGCCTGGGGAAACTGAACTAAATATTTCCCTGACACCTAGTTTATTTGTCCTGATTACTTTAAGATCTTACATAAACTCCAGACTTACATACACTCCAAACTGGTAGTTTGTGTTGTTTCTGACTGTTCAGTGTCAACTCAGTTCCTCATATTAAATAAAAGAGTTCCTACTCAGCAAACTGGCACGAGCATTATCTCTGATAATTCCCATTAACAAACTAAAGTCTCACTCATCATATAAAAACCCACAAAAAGACGGAATAATCTCACCTTGTACTCTTTTCCCATGTAAAGCTGGTTCAGTGTGTTTGTTATGGCTCCTTGGCTGGAGTTAATCGTGTATTTACTCATTTCCCAGCCTTCTTTTGATGAATCCAAGTACATGTACTCCACCCCACTGCCGATGTCATCGATTCTGTATTTAGGCAGTTTGTAGACGATAAACCTTAGAAGGAAAGAGACAGAAAACCACGTGTCTTTTCTTGGGAAAATTGAAGGAATTAATCATCAGTATGAATATGGAGGCATTAATATTTAAAAATATCATATTAACTCACCAATCGACTGCCTCGCCTTCTTCATTTCTACATGAAATGTCAGCACCACAAACTGTGCAACACAAAAGCACAAAAATCTGTGAGGATAAACTAAAGCGTGAGATCATCCTGAGTGACTCTTGCAGCTGAAGTCAACACGGCAGCGACTGACGAAAGGGAAATCTGAAATCTGCTGCTTTCTGATTGTGAAACCAGCACATCTGCTTTTAGATGCAAAAATGGGAAGTCATAAGATGTTGTCACATGACGGGAAAATACTGAAATGACTCTGTCAGCAATTAAATGTTTCAGAATGTTTATAGATTTTTATTTTTTGCCAACCTTGACAGATCAGCTACTTTACTTGTCCTCGTATTATTTATATATGTACTGTATGTTAATGTTTTTTGTGTTGCTGATTTTTAATTATGCAAACTGCCCTCGTTACAGCATCAAGTACTGTTCACACCTGATTACTGTACTGGTCAGGTCTTAATTTTACAATGAAACCACATGTTGACTGTAAAAGGGGAAACGTCTCTTTGGTAAAACAACTCATAGTTGAAGTCTGACAAAGTCACATCTCTGAGCTCCTTTTTGTAATGTTTATAAGCCAAACTGGATTTCATAAGCTCATCCAGTTTATTGTTGAGGAAACTCTTTAAACATAGTCTTGGTAGCCGGGGATCGGTCTGCCAGGTGCTCCGCTCCTGGACGCCGCCCGGCACACAATGTACCTGACCCCTACGATGCCTCCTGCGGGTGGTGGGCCTGCAGGAAGATGGACCCATGTCCCTTTTTAGGGACTAAGTCCTGGCCACCAGACGCTCGCTCTCGGGCACCTTCCCTGGGCCTGGCTCCAGGGCAGGGTCCTGGTAACCCTAGGCGGGGTGAAGTGTTCTTCTCATAGGGGTCTTCTGAATCACTCTTTGTCTGGTCCCTCACCCAGGACCAATTTGCCATGGGAGACCCTACCAGGGAGCAGAAGCCCGTGGACAACGAAGCCCCTGGGATTCCTGGGACACACAAACCCCTCCACTACGATAAGGTAGCAATTCACAGGGGGGTCTGCAGCACCGGGAGGAGGCCCCGGGGCAGACCCAGGACACGCTGGAGAGATTATATCTCTCGGCTGGCCTGGGAACGCCTTGGTGTTCCCCCGGACAAGCTGGAGGAGGTGGCTGGGGGGAGGGCGGTCTGGGCTTCTCTGCTTAGGCTGCTGCTCCCACAACCTGGCCCCGGATAAGTGGAAGACGATGGATGGATGGATCTTTAAATATATTCAAACGGTGAAGCAACTAAAGCATGTAGGAATAAACAGAAGAACTATTTTCCTCCTTAAGAACAAAACTATGTTTTTTTTTTTGTTTGTTTTTTTTCTTTTGACACGGGAGAGCTCTTCCTCCTCAGCGGCGAGAATGGAAGCGTCTGTCGAGTGGTGGTGGAGTTGCCAAAAGAGTTCTTTATGTTCTTTAATCGACGATTAAGCAGCAAGGCCTTGCTTGGATTCAGATATAGACATACTGTGGGACTTGTTGGGTTGTGCAATCGTATTTTCCATACAACGGTGTACAGATTATTGTTGTTTTATATAGGTAATGCATCGTGTATATTTAATTGCCCAGGGGGGTCAGGAATCCCTCGTTATTTATCACTGCGTGTTTCAAAACGAACCAAAATGCCAAAAAAATAGTCATGATTGTTCTCTTTCCATGCAGTCTGGGAGTCAACTTTTGTTTTGCCCAGCATTTTCCTGGTGGTATTCAGGCTGTCATATGTACTGTATATACTGTAAAGGCATTCTTATTTGGCAAATAAATTGCTTTATTAATAATCTTCATGCTTACCTGGAACTGGCTTTACCTTCTTGTTTCTTTGAGTCTAACAGATACCACTGCAAAATCATGTTTATTTTTCTCCCCCTGAAGTGGATCTGTTATACATTTCTGTCATGTACACAGTGCTCACAGTATCGATACACTGTACTTATTTGAAGCTTGGGCTATGTACAAGTAATCAATGAAGGTTTAATAACTTCAAAAATTATTTTTTCCTTCTCTTGTGTGTTGCTAAAGTTTAATAAAGGGGGTTTTCATATAAAAGCAACCTTTTTGCTGCTTCCTCGGGAGCAGGGTCGCTCCGCAAGTTTAAATTGACGGTTTTGCACCAGATGCCCCTCCTGATACAAATCCCCTTGGGGTTGTCTTCAGCTGGAATCAAACCAGCAGCCTTTCACTTGTTAAATGTGTAAACAAGTCCATGTTATGTGGTCAGAAAATTTGGTTTTGTAAAATATTCCCACTACTCTGCAAGTTTGGAGGGTTTTAATTAAAAATGCCATTTTGGTTGTGAAATAAATTTTAATCTTGTGTTTATTCCTTCAGGAAAGCCAAACAGACTGTTTTGTATGGAAGCTCATTTCTGCCACAGAAACACATTTGAACAATAATTCCCAGGAAAGATTTTGATTCAAATATCTATATTTTGAGATAATTGACCTGAAATTTTAACTTGTCGATGGAAAATGTTTTTATTCAGTAGCAGAATAAAACTTCAGAGCTGTTTTCATTGACCAGAGTCCAGACGGTGACAGAGTAAAGTTTCACTAGATTGCCGTCGGTATTTTCAGAGAACGAAATTTTTCAAACTAAGCTGACGTTTCAGCCTTTTTCCCCCACATGAATGCCTGCTAACAGAAATATGAAAGCAGTTTCACACAACCAGTGAGTGAAAGTTAAACCTACTGTTCTCTCCAATAAGCAGGTAACCATTGTTAAATCTGCATTATACTCAGTCAGAGAGCGTGCATGAATGGATCTGAGATAATGTAATTTACTGGTTACAAGTTTGGTTACGGCAGAATTTTTTTAGGCCTGTATTGTTTTATTTTTGGCTTTGAAAGCTAAAGGGAACTGAATTTATAGTGGATTTTGGACTCTTTCAGCTTAGTTTTTTTTTTTTTATTCATTATATGACATTTGTGTCAGGGGTGAGATTTAATAAGTTTAAAACATCTATTAAAATACAAACACTGTTTTCATAAATCTGGGGGGGCTCTGTTGACAAATTTGAATCTTGCAAAACTTTTGTGATTACAAACTAATGTTTTTGTTCTTTTCAACATCTGAATTTGGTATTAACAAAATAAAAACGCTGGCAAGCGAAGGAAGCGGTGCTCACAAGCACCAGGTTCAGATGTCAGGCGAGGGGCAACCAATCAGAAGAAAGTGGGCTTTTACTCTTTTCTGCCATAAAGACATCTGACAACCTCCCCCAGTACCCTAGACCGTCAGGGTTGACAATTCAGTATATAGATGTGGCTATCTACACATCTATCTGGAGTAATTTCCAGGTTTTTCCAAGGGTATACCTAGACCTGATGCGTAGCCAGTCATTTTGTTCTGGAAGCAGGTCAGACACCAGTTCGGGAAAGAGAAACAAGGGTGACCAGAAGAAGGTATCAGAGGGTGAAGAATTAAAATATGCAAGTCTTAAAGAGATGGCTTGTTTCGCACAGAGGATGAGCTGCATAAAGACCCAGTTTAAGATGCTTTTAAACTCATCCTCATCCTGTTTTTTTTTTTTTTGTTTTTTTTTTTTTTGTTTTTGTTTTTTTTTTGCCTGTCCCGTTTGGCTCTTTTGCATCAGAATTGTTGTCTAAAGGCAAAGAAAGATGCCCAACGGATTTACTTTACCAAACTGACCATCCCGGCCTTGCCGTAATGGTCCATTTGATTCACCTTTTATTGTTTATTTTATTTTCACTTACTGAATACGGGACAGACTTGACTGGGGGAAAGAAGGGGAGAAAGAAAGAGGGAAAGAGAAACAGCTGAGAAGAGGGACGGGGAGAAGGACAAAAAACAAAAACCAACAGAACGGGCAGAGAAAAAAAAATGCATATATCAATCACCTGGATCACCTGCTGAGAAAGAAAAAAGAAAGCAAGCAGAAGAGAACAAGAGTAATAGAATAAACAACATCACAATGATATATGGGAATATGACAGTAAATACTAAATATTAAACATTATTGTGCAGCACATAAGATCAACAGAACACAGTGTGCTTTGAGGTAGGAGCCAAAAAGGGTGTAGTTTGTGGGTGTGATCACCCGTGTGTACACCTGTGAGCATGGACGCGCTTGTTTTTTGTTTTTTTAAAAGGTTCCTTCATGTAATAATCTGCTAGAGGGTGTGGGGGGGCCACAGCCCCGTCCTCCAGGGCGTGAAGCAGGTGTGGAGGAGATCAAAACTCCAGACATCCAGAGGCCCCCAGAACACAAGAGACCAAAAGAGAACAAAACTATGTTAACGGGATCTTTAGTTCCTCAGTGGAAGCAGCTGACTGATCAGTCCTTTGCGCTGCGCACACGGTGCATAGAGCATCCTTCTATAAAGATATTCTTTTAAATTTAAAGCAAAGCACGTTCAGACAGAAAACATCCTGCATTAAAGTAACTGAATTTAAACTTTTAAACTTATCACTATTGTACATGTTGAGCTGAACCATCCAAACTTTCTTATTACTGAGGAAATGAAAAGACCCCTTCAAGGAGGCACAGATCTTGATACCAAGGCTGGTATTAGGTTTACTTCTAAATTACTTTTTCACTCTCCAACCCTACACGGGCAGGTTTGAAGAGCTTATTTCACTTAATTTCACTTAAAGGAAATCATCATTTAAAAACCTTATTTTTTATTTACTCTGATGATCTTTTTCTAATATTAAAATTTATGTGTGACATATGCAAAAGGAAGAAAAACAAAAAAAAACAATATGCTGTCCACACAATATACAGCGCATTTGCGTAAAAACAAAAAAAGCATAATGTAAATGTAATTCATAAAGGTGGAAACTCAAAACTGTTCTTTATATTTAGAAGAAAAAAGTTTATAGTCTTTATATGAGCATAGGGAGTGCAAACTACAGTGCTGTACAGACTCCTAATTTCAGATGTTTTTGCTTCATCTACTGCATCTCCGTTTATGTTTGCATGTGTTTCAATAAACCTGTTTCTTATTTTTCTGGCAAAATATAAAGAAATTAGGTGTCGGTCAAGATTGAACCTGACTGCAACAATGAATTCATGTGAAATGCACTCACATCTTTCTCTTTGTGGCTGTACATGTAAACAGTGTTTGTGCGTGCCTCTGCATTTCTCTGAGTGGAATACAGTGCATCACACAGTACAAATAAAAGAGGTTAAACTTCAGCTTCCAATAGCCTGAGTGCAAAGTTAATGCCACCCTCTGTAGAAAGTCCTCCTCCTGTAGCAGGAGCCCCATTTACTGGAGACTGTTTGAAGGGCAGCAGGTAAAGAAGAGGAAGGCACCATGGCAAACGCTTCAGATCAGGTAACATTTCAGAAAGTTGTAGAAGGAAACAGTAAAACTTAAACGATAGAACATGACTAATGTTTCTGACGGTAGATTGATAGCACTGGAAATTATCTCAGGGTTCAGTGGCCACAGGGTCAAACCGTGATCTTTAAAGGTTAGTTTTTAAAACATTTCTAATTCCTCACAAAGTAAAAGTCTTTTTTTTATTTGATGTTGTAGTACCCGTGTACTTTCAGACAATATCTGATTTCAGATTTTTTTAATTAATGTTGGAATACGGAGATATATTTAACAAGCTCCTGCAAATGCACACGAGAAACTTCACTGCAAACTATCCAAAGACAACATTTTAAAGGGATAAGAAATATTATATTTGTAGCTCTAAGATGACACTGTGGCACGAAACACCTCTACCACTGGAAACTGTTTAAGTGTGCCATCTTATTACAACTATTTCTCACACATGCAGAAAGTGGAGTTTGTGCGAACAGGTTACGGCAAGAAAACGGTGAAGGTGCTGGTCGTCCGGAGGCAGGGAAGACAGCATTCTATCATTGAGGTGAAGGCTGATGTGGAGCTCACGCTCAAGTCACACAAAGATTATCTAACTGGAGACAACTCAGACATCATCCCTACTGACACCATTAAAAACACTGTCCACGGTTTGGCCAAGCTCAGAGGGGTGAGTCTAACACCGTTTTGAGGAACAGGGAAGACCTGTTATTGCTATTTCAACTGCTAAAATATTTGTTATTGAGGTCTTTTACAGCCTGTCAACCTGCTTGTTTCTCTGTCAAGATAAAGAACATCGAACAGTTTTCCCTGGATATCTGCAATCATTTCCTAACCTCTTTTAACCATGTGCTGAAGGCCAAAGTTTACATGGAGGAAGCTCCGTGGAGAAGGCTGGAGAAGGTAAAACACAGGACGGTGCAGCTTCACAAGAGTTGACCTTTTTAACAGCTATTTGAGCAGCAACATAAATCAAGCGCACATTAACCCGATCAAATGTTGCAGGTGATAATCCATCGTAAAACATGACCCTTGTCTTTTTTTTCTCTCAGAGTGGGGTAGAGCATGCTCATGCGTTTATATTCAGCCCAGAAGCTTACCGCTTCTGTGATGTTGAACAGACTATCGGTGGTAATCACACACTCTCACAAAAACACGCAAACAGTGTATTTGCTTACATGCTATCCAAGCTGTCATTGGACAGTGACGGACTGAATACACTCTGATTTATTAACAGTATTAATAATAATTATTATTATATTAATTCAAGTTTTGTATTTTTTTAATTTAGAATTTTTGTTTCCAGTTTAGTTTCCAAATTACTTTTGCTCCTTTTAGCAACGTTTTCATTGTTAGTTTTAATTATGATTATATGGAGGCAATTTGTCAGGAGACAAAATTAAAGCTTTTCAGAAGATCTTACACAAATACAGCACCGTTTAATCCCATGTCGTGATCCCAAGTCTCAATAAATAGCTGGACCAAAGTGTGGTTAGGCTGAATGTGTAAACACAGACAAGCACATTTCTGCTATATTTTTAAATTAGTTTTCTTAACATACAATTATTTAAGTTTTTAATTTTCTTCCAAAGGTATAGATTTTTATTTAGATTTCAGTTACTTTAGTTTTTAAGTTTAGTGTTACCCTAAGCTGGACAGATGACCAGTCCATCACCAGGGTTACAATAGTTTACAGCTAAACTTACGTGTGTGTTGTCATACTTTTGTCAGACAAAAACACCCCAACCAAGTAAGAGGTTCAAACCTGGAACCTTCTTGATGTGAGGTGACGGTGCTAATCACTGCACTATCATGATAGTTCAAACTACAGCAGGCGTGGGCAACTCCAGGCCTCGAGGGCCATTGTGTCCTTGCAGGTTTTAGGTTTTTTGAACCAACACAGCTGATTTAAATGGCTAAATTAGCTCCTCAACATGTCCTGAAGTTCTCCAGAGGCCTGGTAACGAACCAATCATGTGATTCAGGTGTGTTGACCCAGGGTGAGATTCTAAAACCTGCAGGACACCGGCCCTCGAGGCCTGGAGTTGCCCACGCCTGAACTACAGCATGTAGGTAGGCCAAGATCTGATCGCTGAGCTCTGTTCTGCTGAAGAGGGCGTTCTCCCTTTGCAGCCTCCACTTGCTCAGTAGCCGGCAAATACATGTAAAAAAACAAACAAACATCAGAGGTTAATGGCTGTCACAAATTACTTTGAGTCAAGTTTTAACTCTTGAAGCGTGTTTAGTAAATCAAAACGTACTATTTGACTTGTGGTGCAAATACTGTTAACAAAGGCAGCTAAAGCTATGAGCTAAAGCCCTTGCACACTGTTGATCACAGGTTCATGATTAGCACCATTTTCATAAGTTGTTTGCCATGTTTCACATCACTCCACCCTCACGGGCTGATCTGTGCTCCACGCAGGCATCCCTGTGGTCCACAGTGGGGTGAAGAATATGAAGGTGCTGAAAACCACCCAGTCTGGTTTTGAAGGTTTCTACAGAGACCGCTTCACTACTCTGAAAGACGCCAAGGACAGGTTTTTCTGCACCTCTGTGTACTCGAGGTGGCGCTACAACAAGATCCAGGACACTGACTTTGACGCTGCTTGGTAACTGCCTGACTTACGAGCGTCAAGAAAGACCTCAGCTGACGTATACCAATATAGTTCAAAGTTCATAAATATAGTTCACATCTGAAGCTTTATATTCTTCATTCTTATAGGAAGACTGTGAAGGAGACGATTATTGAGAAGTTTGCTGGCCCCTATGATCGCGGGGAGTACTCGCCCTCAGTGCAGAAGACCCTGTATGAAACTCAGGTTCTAGTCCTGGATCGACTTCCTGAGGTACTTCCTTTAGATCGTGAAATCATCAAACTCAATCTTATCACTTTTTGAGATACATAAACTGTTTAGACAACTTCACAGTTGAAATCTAACCAACTCTGAGTCCTAAAAAAGGACAAACATGCAAATTACATCTCCACAGTTGTTGGAAATTGAATAAAAAGCTACATACTGTATATAACAGGCATGCTAAAGTACACATTTTCTTTTAGGTGGATGAAATAGAGATCATCATGCCCAATGAGCATTACTTCACCATAGACATGACAAGAATGGGTATTGTCAACAATGATGAAGTAAGTTCTGTTCTCACAAATGACCCTTCATATTCTTTAAATGATCGGGTTGTGGACATTAGTATCTTTTTCCCATCACAGGTACTCCTTCCTCTGGATAATCCCTCAGGGAACATAACGGGGACAGTACGCAGGAAGCAGCGAGCACGGCTCTAACGGCGCCCACAGAAAGAAGGCCCTGCTGGGATTTAAACAATCCGAGTGGGCCGTTTAACAGAAAGATCCATCTGAATTAACCTTTCAAACAAATATTCCAACAACAGCAAGTTAATATTTGTAGCCTGACTAAAGCTCGTGATGATGTGATGTGAACCCAAATAAAATGAAACTAAAGACAGCGGCTGTTGATAAATTCATAAACTAACATTGATCTTTGGTGAGAAAAGAGCACCATTTATTGCAAATCTCTGATTCGGATATTAAAACTCCAGTGTTATGCTGCACATGTACATTGGTCATACACACTTTTGAACAGTTGTCTGTGTGACAATGCTGAAAGCACCACAGGTTGATAGATAATAATAATAATAATAACAATAATAATATATACACATAAATATTTCCATATCAAGAGTCTCAAGCCTGAATAATGTAGATGTTCAGGAACAAGGTGGCTTTTGCTCGGGTCGTTGTGTCTGGGAAAACAAAGTGGTTCACGGTCACATGCTGAAGACGACTCATTGACTCAGATGCACATTTTAAAACATAGAAAGTTTCAGGGGGAAAAAGGGCAACGCACCAGAATCATTATCTGCATGTATCAAAGTCTTTAGATGCGACAGAACATACACAGTTTTCAACTATAATATAATCTTATATACAAATACTTATTTTTTTAAACCTTCATGGGTTAATTCACTTTGCACTCACACACATACACGCACACAAAAACCATACCTGCAGAGTATTTTCCCCAAATTTTCTTCTTTTAAATAAAACACAAAAAAATACAAAAATACAAAAAAAAAAATCTCAAGCAGCAGATATAAGAATGGCTGAAAGGGTAAACGGCTGAGTGGACACTGTGTGCAACCCATTTTTGGGGTCCACGCTTATATAAAAAGAACACAAACAAAAAGAAAAAATACAGCATTCAAAAATCCTGTTAAGAAGCCACTGTGGGCTGAAAAGTCTCTGCGAAACGACGGCTAACCTGGGCTCTCCTGACACAATGATTGTCACAGACGTGGGTGCTGGGACGGCCTGCGGCGCTACGAGGCGTTGCTTTTCAGGTGCTGAGTCTGCAGCGGCTTCACGTGATACTCGTAGATTTTCAGTGCGGGGCCGAGCTTTATCGACAGCCCCGTCAGGACGTCGTTACGCGTCATCAAGAGCAGGGACTTACCATCAATTTCCTGTCAGATAAAGACAGAAATTCTAGTTTTCCCTAGTTTGTCAGCATCATGTGGCAGCAATTTTGAGCAGGAAATAACAGTCAAACCTGATCCTGGAAAGCCATGGCTTGCTCCTCAAACCCTGTTGCTTTGAAATAATTGACAACATCAGCAACTGCCCAGTTGGAAGGGTCCGGCAGCTGACCGTTCTCCACTGGGCTGTAAGGTGAAATTAAATGTATTCATCTTAATATAAAATGTATGCTTAATTTTAAGAGCAGCTTAAAATATCTAAAATAGTTTGTCAATCAACAAGATCCTACACACCTTTTGGTGTCAACTGATCCATTTGCCTTGTCTTCCATGTCGGCTGTAGCTTAAAAAAAAAATAAATAACAAGAAAATTACAAAAGCAAAAAGAAACTATTCAGTCAATTTGAAAATTACAAGTATTTTCTAAAATGCTTTTCATTTTCTAATTCTCTTTCAAATTAGAATAAACAGGCAAATGACTTCAAATGACTTGATACAGAGTGTAAAGACATTCAGTTTGCTATTAAAAAAAATATGCAGAAACCTGCAAATATTTTGTTTAAAAACGTGTAAGAATATGAATTTGGTGTTTTTTTTCCTTGCAAAAATGACACATTTTAATCGTGTGCGATCAAACTGTTCTCTGTCAGCTGGTTAACTTAACCAACTAAATGTCTGAGCTATTTTTTTTTTACTCCTCTACTCCGTCAACCATTGTGATGGCAGGTATTTTGCAATTATACCGCTACCAACGGGTTACACAAGCAACAGAAAAGCCCAAACACCTCACAGAGGAACCTTACACGACTACCTGATTAAACACAAGCGTTGCTAGTTTAATCACTGACTTAGGTGTAAGGAAACACTTACGATCTTTAACGTTACAGTAATTTTTCATCAGACGTCTTCTCTCGGGGAACTTAGTGTGCTGGCAGTTGAAAAACCCTCATTGTTTATCTTTCGCAGTCTGCCATTTACTGGATGTTTCTGCAGGAAAAACAGTTGTACAGTAAATAACAAAATTCATTTAATTTAAAAAACCCGAAACACAGCTAAAGAACAAAACAAATCCAATCGTTTCTGACTGACAACGGGGAGAGCTGTAGTGTGTGAAAATGACGACCAAAAACTCACGTTGTTAGCTGTATTAAAAACATAGAATTACATTAGAAACATAAAAAATAAATAAATAAAGTAAAAAAAAAATTACCTTATCAGAGAGGAGAGTTAAGAAAACAACGTTATGTTAAATGACGACAGATATTTAATCACTGCCACTTCGTATTCTGCGTTAACGCTAACGTTAAGCTACCAGGGGTAGTTAGCTAGGCTTGCTAATACAAAATTTAACAGTTACCTTGTTTTAGAGATTCGCGCTTTGACAGAAATGGCCCGCCCGACGTTTACACGTAGTTTAAATCTTAAAAAGTTTTCCAATAACTACGATATTTTACAAATTATTAAACGACAGCGGTCGTTTGATAAAATCAAGATTTAATCAAGTAAAGCCAACTAGCCCCCTCTTCATCGCTTTCGCTTCCATCACCCACAGGGCACCAAAGAATCATGGGTAATGTAGTTTTGCGTCCCCAACGCCTTGGTTTGCAGTTCAGTGAGATTAGACACTTGCTGATGATCACCCAGGAGCAAACTCACAACCAAACTTTTTAATAAAAAGAATTTATTATTGTGACATATTCTTTGTTACATAAAATCTGCTACAGCAAAGTATACTCCCCTTGCAAACACAAATATATATGAGTGGGAAAACAAAAAACAAAAAACGTGTCAGCCGTCTAAATGATGTGCAAAAATTCCACAAACTAAATAGAGACACATTTCAGATTATTGATCCCATACTGGCACATGTGACTAGCTACAGAGAACTCATAAACGGATTTCCTGCAGTCAGGAGTGTGAGGTGGTTCAGGGAAAAAGTGCCATCATTTACATGAAATCTGACAAAGATTACACAGATTGGGAAATAAAGGATACGGAGATACAGATGTGGAGAGATATGGATTTCCTACACAGTTTCTGGGAAGATTTACACACACACACACACACACACACACACACACACACACACACACACACACACACACACACACACACACACACACAAGCTGTTTGGGACTGTGCTTGTCAAAGTCCTGTTTGAATATTTGTTCTGGATTTTACCATTAAATCCTGTCCAGACTTCAAAGTGAGAAGAAGAAAATTGTTGGATCTTTTTTGGTAAATCTGTTTTTAAAGGATTATTTAAAAAAAATCTTTCTTTAGACAAAGGAAATGAAAAAAAAATAAGTTAAAATCAAAAGGCTATCATTTTAAATAGGCATTTGAGGTGTCAGTGTACATAAACGTAAGTCTTAACAGGGCAAATAAAAAGTTACACAGATAAAACTTTTCAGTATATTCACTGTTTTTAACACTTGCAAATAAAACATTTGGAGTCTTTTATATGAGAACTATAGACGATTAAACATTTCAGTGTTTATTCATTATCTCTAAATATAAATAAAACAGCATACGAAACAGTTCTGTCTCGGAAATGAAAACAAGGGTAAATAAAAAAATGTCACATGCTGGGCTCAAACAGTAAAATAAAAGTTCACATGTTGCCAATATTTATGTATAAAATGCTACAAAATAGCATTCAGTCTGCAAATCTTTTCACATTTGGTTTCTATGATTGTTGAACTTGATTCAATTGCATTTTCCTCGCATACAAATACTTGAGCATCTTGTCAAATTATGACGAAGCTTCTCAAGACTTAAGGGACATAAAGTGAAACACTGTCAATAGTGCACTGCTATTCCTGACAGTGTGAAATGTAAAACTCGATTTTCACACAGCTGTGAGGATCAAACTCTGACATTCGTGTGGACAGCAGAGACAAACCTCTGTTCACAAAGAAAAGAACGTTTCTGATGTCTGGATGAAAGAAAAGTCCTTTAGATATGTTAACCTGTAACCGGAGAGTTGTTTGTTCTTTACTTAGCGGCAGGGAAAGAGTGAGAATTAATGGGTCATGAAAGTTGCTCATAAAACCTTATAGAATATGATTTAACAATAAATTAAAAGGAGTAACTGATATTTTGGAGTCTTATGAGCTTATTTCCTTTGAAAACTATTATTTTTGTCAGCTGTGTTACTGATGTAAAAAAAAAAAAAAAAAAAAAAGAGCGAAAAAAGCATCAAGCGTGGCCGAGTTGAATTAATACTTTAAGGTGATGATATTTCAGTTTTCTCTTCACTGTTTGTGAATGTTGTGTTTCTTTCTTAACCCATATCCAATTTACTTGTTTACTGCATGAATGCCTGAGGCTTTGGAACAATTTAAAAGGTAACAAACGAAAAAGTGGGAACATTTTTAGGCTGTTATCAGGTTGTTGTGACACATCTATACAAACATGAAAAAATGACAAACAAATATGGCAGGTACACAACATCTTGCGATTGTTCTGCTCAAAACACAGCAGTTAAAAGACAAAAAAACAAAACAAACAGCAACCTAAATGAGACCAACACTGCTTCCCCTTCATGATAAAACCTCACGAAAATATCACCACCTGACCTTTCAATTACTGAAAAACGCACTAATGTATAAAACAAACCATGTAAATGTTGTGTTGTGCACAGTGATATACTCAAATTCTCTTAGTTCCCTTTCTCTCTAACATAGCCGTACCAGAAAAAATATATTACTTCATTCCATTATGCTAATATCACACCAAGACTGAGGTAAAAAGGAAAAGTCCTGCGACCAGATATGGATAAACGATGCTACAGATTGATCAGCACAACACTGACAAGTTTCTGCTTCATAATAACACTTGTCAATATTGATCCGCTTCTTTGAGCGTGCCAAAACTTCAAGAAGCCATCACCGCTTCTTTCCCTTCATTGAATTGTGGTCATGCCCTAAGGAAACACGTTCTTTAAAGAAATCAAATCATACATCTA